CTCGGGGGGGGGGGGGGAAACTCCAGACACAGGCCAGTTCCTTCTACAGGCACTGAGCCAAAGTGATTCTCCTTGGTGCCAGCTCCTGTGTTTTCTCCCCTTCTCCACAGTCTGATAAGTGCTTCAAGCTGCAGGTGGAGAGCTACCGGAAGCTGGGCCAGTTCGAGAAGGGCCTTGAGGTGGTGGCACTGTGGCTGGGGGCACTGCGTGGCCGGGTCACAGAGCAAATGGTAGAGCCAGTGTCTCTCTGGGTCCGAGTCAAGATGGATGCAAGCAAGAAGGGGGACGAAGACCTGAGACTGAAGTAAGGGGGCGGGTGCGAGCAAGGTGGAGATGATGCTGCTTGCTGGGGGGTAGGCAGGACAAAACCTGGCTTGTGGGAATGCTCGGGGAATCAGCTTTGGCCTATTTAAAACATCGGAGTCCATGGTGGGAAGCTGCTGCAGGAGAAAATGGAGCAGGGAGGGTGTCTGGGGTTGTGATGCAAGTTGGACTGAAGGACCTAATTCCATGGAGAGCTCTGCTATGGGCTTGGGCTTCCTGGGTTCTCTCTGGTTCTGCCACGTGACTTCTTGTTGTGTGGCCAGTGTCCTTTGTGTCTGTCTCCCTATCTGTCTGTGAAACGGGGATGCTTCTTCCAGCACCTTTCAACTTGCCTGCCCTTGCACACAGCATGGACCCGGCTGTTTGCCCGAGGTTCAGCACTGGAAATGCCTGGGGGGGTGGGGGTAACTTGCTGCAAGAGCTGCTGGGTACAATGTGGCACGTGGGCCATAGCCCCTGTCCCACTGCCACATCTGCCTCGTCACAGGACTCTGAAGGATGCCTTGGAGGGGCACAGCTTGGCCCCGGAGTCTCTGGTGGCCCTGCTCTCCGAGGAGCTGCGGGCCTACAAGATGGTGCGGGCCGACACGGGGCATGAGCGTTTCAATGTCATCTGTGACCTGCTGGAGCTATACCCAGAGGAGAGTGGGCAGGTGCAGGAGCGTGCGGGGGTCCTGCTAGAGCTGGCCCAGGTGCTGTGCTACCACGACTACACGGAGAAGACTGAGTGGTGAGTGCTGCTGGGCACTAGGGGAGAAAGATGGGATACTGCAGCCTCTGCTGTGTAACCAGCCAGGTCATGTCATGCCAACCAGAGCACCCAGGGGGTTCTGCAGGGCAGGTGAAACCATCTCACTGGCTTCCTCCACTGGGAGAGCTGCCCCAGGACGAGCTGTGCCTTGGGCTCCAGTTTGGTCTCTAGTTTCAGCCTTGCAAATGTTCATCCTCTCATGTGAATTTTGCAGGACTACACCATTGCCACGGGGCCTGAACAGCCCCTCTGGGCTCAGCGTGGGCAATGTTGGTAGCCAGAAGGGGTTGGAGTATGGGAGATGCGTTCCTGCATATGCCTCTCCTTGCTGCCCTGTGGCTGGGAAGGGTTAAGCAAGTCAGTTCTTCCACCACCTCATGCGGAGTGGTCTGAGATCCCAGGGTGCATCATGGCAGCCGGTCCCTCTCCCCTAGCTCTGCCCTGGATGCCATTCAAGAGGCCCTGCATCTGCTAGACTCCGTGCCTGAGAGCCCAGAGAGCCAGGACCAGCTGCTGGATGACCGAGCCCAAGCCTTGCTCTGGCTGTACATCTGCAGCCTGGAGTCCAAGATGCAGCAGGTAGGGGACAGGTGGTGCTGTGGTGGCTGCTCCCCTTTGCACACCAGGGGATGTGCCCAGGATGTGTGGGTCTGCCCTGTCTTTGCAGTGTCTTGGGGTGCCCTTCTCGGGGGCTCATTTCAGCCCCTTGGCTCAAGGAGCAGACAGCTGTTGGCAGGAGTCTGTCTTGGCTCTGCTCCATCAACATGCTGTAACAACTGTGGCTTCTCCACATGCCTGCAGAGCATTGAGAAGGAGCAGAGAGCCTGGACCCAGGGCCAAAAGAACCTGGAGGACTTTGAACCCAATGACCTCAACTATGAAGACAAGCTCCAGGACGACAAGTTCCTGTATAACAGCATCACCTTCAACCTGGCGGCCGAGGCTGGTGGGCCCCTCAGGGAAGGGATGTTGGGCCACTGCAGGAACTCTGCATGGGCAGAGTTGCTGGCTTTGTGGCCAGGAAGGGATGTCCTTGACTGGGTCACTGGGGGCATGTGCTGCTCTACCACCACCCCATGGGGCAGGGCTGTCCATTCTGCCCTCCCCAGTGAGGAGGATCTGAGGGTCATGAGTGGCTGGGGGACCTCAGCCTGGCCTCACTCGACTCACTAGGCTTTGCCTGGACCCACCCCTCCGCATACCCACCTGTTTATGGCTTCAGGGGGTCGATGAACTGCTCCCTCTGCCTGCCCCGAAGAGTCCCCTGGGCTGGGTTTAGCTGCCATCTGCTCCCTCCCTGGCAGAGGCATTAGGCAGTAGCTGCTGAGTGACTGCTGCTTGCTATCTCTAGCCCAGTCAAAGAGCCTGGATGATGCCCTTGCCCTCTGGAAGAAGCTCCTAGCCAAGAAGGGCATCCCTCAAGTGCGCAGCGTGGAGCAAACCACAGCCTCCCTGCACCTTGCAGCTGCTCTCTACAGGATGATGGCTAAGGTACGGGGTGTGGGGGTGGGTTGGCCTAGAGGGGGCTATGAGCATGTCAGATATGCCTGCAAACTGGGTCCGTGTGCACCAGGGCTTCTCACCAGCCCTGGCTCTCAGATGTTTTTTCAAAACAACCAGCTCTTTGCCTCTGGGCTGTCTCTCAAAAGACCCAGACCAGCCTGTCTCACTTGTGCACTGCTCTAGCCAAGGCAGGACAGGTCGCAGCCCCCAGGTCCTGAGCTGTGAATAGATCCTGACTGCTGTGTCCCTTCCCTCTATAGACTGGGGCCTGGAAAAACTGCATTCCCACAGACCAGTTGGCTGGTATTTAAGGGTGGGGGCAGGGATTGGGGTGTGCTGCCTCTGAAGTGGGGGGATGGGCCTTGATAATGTGTGTGCTCCCTGATGTCTCTCAGCCCCTGCAAGCCATGGAGTGTTATCTGCTGCTCTGGACCCTCTGCAGAGCCCTCGGGGACCAGCTGGGGACCGCCAGTGCTTTATGCCAAGTGACCAAGCTCCTCTTCCACCTCGAGTGTCCCAGTGATGCCAAGGCAAGAACTAGGCTGGCAATGGCGTGGCTATAGGACAAGAGCAGCATTCCCTAAAGGGGAGGCAAGAAGTCTTGTGGGTGATGGCTTTTTATTGCACCCAACTGTACAGTTGATCCAGATGTCGGCAGACTTCTAGGTGTCACAGTATCGTTCCTCAGGCTTCTGAGGGAAGCAGACACAACTAAGCTAAAGGGAAGATGGAAAAAAGCTTGTTAAGTAGGGTTGTTACCATACATGCAGTGGACCTCATCTCCTGGACCATCATGTCAATCCTACTTGAAAGAATAGGGACAGGGCCCTGAGGTTCTAGTACAACCAGGCCAAGCTACATTGATCACTGCCCTATGGCAGCCTCTGGAAGGAGGTGTGCGCATATGTGTGATGCTCCAAATTTTTGGCTTTTCCAGCTCTTCCTGGAAGAAGCGGAGTCCTGCTTGGAAAACGCCGACAGCAGCAGCGAGTCCAGCCTGTTGCTGATGCAGACATGTGCCGTGCTGCGCAGCCAGCTCTGCTGCATGGAGCACAAGGTAACTCTGCAGAGCGAGGGGCCAGCCAGGGGCTGGCATGAAAGCACTCGATCTGTGTTTTAGCTGGAACCCTTGTGTGATGGCTTGTGCTCTCTGTTGGCCATGATGCTTCCTGCTGGGGGAAACGGGGTTCCTGGGAGGGGAATGCAGAAGCACTGGTGTGGACTCCAGATATTACCATGGTGTCCCCAACTCTCAAACTCTGCAGCCTGGTCACCAGGTCTTGCCTGGAGCAGCAAACTCCTTCTGTAAAAGAAGTCTTCTCCCTCCTATGAGACCAGGCAAAAGACAGCCTCTTCCCTAACCTCACTCTTGACCTTTTTCACCTGCCCTGGGAGGTGCTTTACTTACCCTCTGCCCCCCACAGCAAGCCTCAGTCCTTCTCTCCTTGTTCTCCAGATCGAAGAGGGCCTTGCTCTGTTGCTCAAGGTGCTCCAGAGCCCCACCCTGCAGAGGATTGCCAAGGTCTGGTACCTGCTCCGAGCCCACATCCTCCAGCTGGTGGCAGTCTACCTGGGCCTCCCTTCCACCAGCCTCTCGGCAGAGCTCCGACAACAGATCTGGGCTGAAGGCAAGTGCAGGGAAGGGCTGTAGGCATGGACTGCGTCAGCAGGTGTTCTGTGACTTGGGCCGGGGCAGTTGCAGCCACCTCTCTCCAGCTTTATCCCAGCCTGGCAGCTACAACCAGCTGCCCACAATGGGTTGGACTTGTGGCAGTGCCTTGGGGTGTTCCCCAAGGCTTGGAGAACATAGACCCTAAAGGACTGGTGATTTGCAGATGAGGTCTGTGTTGGCCTCCATAACTACGCTGCTGGGCTGTCGTCTGGGTCCTGGGGCTGTTCTACAGGGCATCTCTCTCATTGGGTGTCCTGCCCATGTGATGAGATCCACAGGTGCTTGCTGCTGTCTGATACTCATTTCCCCCCTCAGGGTGGAAGACCCCCGAGACGGCTCTTGCTGATGCCCATAAGCTCTTACGGAGCATCATTCTCCTTCTGCTGGGCAGTGATGTGCTGTCCTCCCCCAAGGCGGGTGCAGATGCCTCATTTGTGGATTATGGTGAGCCAGGCGTACGGTGCTTCACGGCCCTTTAGTGCCCTGTGCCTTCCTCATCAGGTCTCTGGTCATCCTGGTGCATCCTAGGGTCAGACTCCATGGGCAGAGAGCATGGTGTGGGGGGAGGGTGGGTCTGGCTTCAGGTCTGGAGTGTGGTAATGGCATCTAATAACTCTGGGTGGGCCTTGGAGCCCAAGAGGGCTGGTATTCTCCATGCAATGAAGAAGGTCTCCCAGCTCATAGTTTCATAGTAGCTAAGGTCAGGAGGGACCTGAACAGATCATCTAGCCTGACCTCCTGCCACAGGCAGGAATGAATGCTGGGTTCACAAGACCCCAGACAGGTGATCATCCAACCTCCTCTTGAATTTGCCCAAGATAGAGGCGAGGACCACTTCCCTGCGAAGTTGGTTCCAGATTTTGGCCACCCTGACTTTAAAATATTGCCTTCTGATCTCCAACCTAAACCTATTCTCCCATCAACTTGTTACCATTGTTCCTTGTCACCCCAGGTGGTGCTGGGGAGAAAAGGGCTCTGCCTATTTGCTGTTGATCTCCCCTGATGAGCTTGTAGGCATCCACCAGGTCCCCCCTCAGCCTCCTCTTGCTGAGGCTGAACAGGTTCAGGTCCTTCAGTGCTCTGTAGACTCTTGATCACAGGAACAGGACTGTTCTACGGGGAGCTGAAGTCAAAGGCTGAGGTGAGGGATTGGAGCAGGCCACTCCAGCCCTGGAGGATCTGCTTGCTGGTGACCAGGAGTGACAACAGATGACAAAAACAGCTGCCCCGTGGGGCTGCAGTCTAACTGCAGTCCCCTCTACTGAGCCAGGAGCTCTAGGGAGCAGGCATTGATGCCTGGGGCAGTGCAAGGATCCACTCCTGGGGTCACCCCTGCAGGCTCCTTGGCTTGTCGTGGGGTGACATTCACCTGCTTCTCCCTCCCTCACAGGGGAGAACCTGCTGCAGAAGTGGCAGGTGCTGGCAGACATGCTGGCCTGCTCAGAGAAGCTGATCGCCCTTCTGGGCACGGTGGAGATGGTGTGCGAGGCCAAGGCCTTCTGTGTGGAAGCTCTCAAGCTCTCCATGAAACTCCAGGCTCTCCGGTGGTGAGGATCCTGCTGTGGGGGGTTGGGTGTGGGGGGGAGAGGCAGCTAGTTTGTCTCCCAAGTTGGGAGAATGCCCAGCCACCTCATGCTTTGTGTATGCATGACTGGCAGCTCAGCCGTGGCCTTGTGTTCAAGGCAACCCAGGTGTTTGGAAGCTGGCCCTGCATGCATAGCACCCTTGGGTCCCTTGGCGTCTTCCCCCTTCTGCCAACGCTGGGTGTCCTCTGTCCAGGGGCTCCTGCCCATGCTGCTGTGCACTTGGCATAGCTTGCTACTGCCTGGGCACCTCCTGGCTCTGGGAGGGTTCAACTTGCCTTCCAGGCCTTCCCTACAGCCACCTCCCTGGGGGGAAGCTCGCACGCTGGGTCTTGGCTGGGTTGGATGCAACACCGGTGGGAGGGGAGGCTCAAGCAAGCAGCTACTGGCAGAGGAGGCCTCCAGGCATGTTGGCCAGACCTTGGTCCTTTTCTAGCTGGCCTGGGAGGGAGGAGAGTAGAGCTGGTGCTGGCTGCCCAGACTTCTTCGCTGTCTGCATCTCGTGCTTCTCGGGGAGGAGGCTGGGGCTTTGCAGCTCTATACCAGCTGCTGTCTTGCTGCCTGGATCCCAAGACGTCCATGTGCGTTCCTAGGTGCGCTGGCTTCCTGGTCCAGAAGAGCGAACTGGAGCTGCAGCGCAGCGATGTGGAGCTCTGCCAGTCGGACCTGCAACAGGCCCTGTTCCTGCTAGAATCCGGCACAGGTGAGCCCCCACTGCATGTCTCCCTTCTCCTGCCCTTTGAGCAGAGGCTTCATTGCACCAAGAACGACCAGCCCCGTCTCTTGGCCCTCCTGTCTCAGGGCTCTTGTCTTGCTTCTGCTGCTGTTGGGGCTCCTTTTTACTAGAGCTCTGCTGAGTAAATCATTGTGAGTTTCCCAGTGTCCCAGGGCCATGGGGCTGGGAAGTGCATCTAAGAGGAAGGCATAACTTGCCATCACTGAGTGATTTCCTCCTGGAATCACTAGCTGCCCCTTAGCAGGCAGGGTTAAACTAGGTGGGGGGGCCCTTGCCATCCTGCTTCAGGGTCAGGGGTCTAAGTCCTCCCCAGGTGTGCACCCCTCCCATGAACATGTGCCCCAGGACAGCCAGCCTAATCTCCAGCACAGCCACGAAGCAGGGCCTGGCCTGAGGTGCTTTTTTGTGGCAGGCAGGAGGCCCTGGACTAACCTGCCTCTATCCTCTTCTCCCCCTCCCTCCAGCCTTTGAGACGGAGGAGAAGCACAAAGACAAGGTTAAGATCCAGCTGACAAAAGGGAGATGCCGGAGCAGGCAGCACCGCAGCCCTAGCACAGAGTCTGCAGCAGAGGATGAAGCCTTCCTGAAGGGGCCCGACTTGGAGTTTGTGGCCACGGTGGGAGCAGAGGAGAAGCAAGCTACCCTCACCACGTCCCCAGAACTGAAGCCCAAGCAGAAACAGCGCCCGCGCTTCCTGACCCATTCACCTGCCTGCGCCTGCCCCCTCTGTTCTGATGTGGCCCTCGTGGTTGTTGGCCTCCGCTGGCTTGTCGCCTTCGCCCACGGCGAGCTGGCACTGGGGAACGCGGCAGAAGGCCTTGGCCTGCTGCAGACTGCACTAGAGCGCTGCGCCCCAGCGACCACGCGCTTCTCTGGTGTCGTACGGGCTGTGTCCTGGGGCAAAAAAGCTGTGCTGGGGGCCCAGCCCACCTCGGGGCTCCTGGATGACGTGATGGGCCGTATCTATGCTGCTTTGGCTGCTCACAACCTGAGGGGCCCCCAGCCGCAGAAGCAGCTGTGGGAGCTGGTGGAGGCTGGCTTGGCTTTCCTGTCCTCCCGGCCGCCACACCTACCTGGCCTTGAGTGCCATGCTGCGAGCCTGCTGCTCACAAAAGCTGTGGCCACCATCTACACCCTGGCCTCTGCACATGATGGCTGCACAGCCAACGTCTTCTCCAGCACCTGGGCCTGGAAGCCCTCGGCACCACCTGCTGGGACCAAGGGAACTGCAGCAGCCAAAGCCCCCAAGGCCAAGGAGCCCCAGCCCCCCAAGAGCAGGAGTAAGAAGCAGCCAGTGGCTATTACTGGCATGAAACCTAGAGCAAAGCGGGGCCTTGGAGCCAAGGCCCTGCCCCCGATAGACTTGGATGTCTTCACCCTGGGGGACTCGGACACTGATGTACCTCGCATCGTGCTCAAACCTGTGCTGGAGCCAGCCACCCCAATCCAGAAGTCCTGCCCACCCCCCATGGCCCGCTCACAGGGCCCCAAGCGAGCCCCCCAACCCCAGGCTCCTTTTGCTGTGTTTAATGAGGCCTCCCCCACAGGGGTCAAGGCCCAACTGGCCAAGGCTCCTAAGGCCTCCAGGAGAGTCAAGTCACGCCTGAAGGTGAGTGCGTGGGTGCTGTGCTTGCTACTGATGGTACCAAAGGTACCTCCTGCTGGCCAGGCCTAGCACAGCTGGCTCTTGGGCTGCTCCTGGGAGAGATGACCTAGGGGTTGGTCAGTCCAGTCTGTCTCCCTTTGTCTCCTCCTGCCCCAAGCTCCCCTGGTCCAGGCTCCAGGTGCTGTCTGGCTTCCAGTGGGGAAAGTGGGACTGCAACCATGTGTTAGCACTGGCCACGGGCAGAGCTGGATATGAGCAGATGCCAACACATGGTAGCACAGGGGTCAGGGGTGAAGAATGCAGCCGTCTGGTGCCTGCCTACAGGGGACATCTCCTGCCCTGCAGTGCTGACACAGGGCTGGGTCAGTCTCCCCACCAGCATTGCAGCTCTGGCCAGTTGGAGGTGCTAGGATGGCCTCTGTCCCCACCTCTTCCCTCTCTGGGGAAACAAGAAACCAGATCCCTGCAGTTGACTGCTGTTGCATCCTCTTCCCAGGTAACCTTCAGTGATGACAGTGACCTGGATGATCCTCCAGCAGCTCTGGAACGAGAGGACAAAGGGCCGGCACCCAGGAGGGTGCGTTCAGTGGCCAGCAACAAGGTGACACAGCCCTCTGGCAGCAGCAAGAAGGCCACGGCAGAGAGGAAGGGATCCCAGGCCAGCTCCTTGGATAATGTCTCCCAGGGAAGCACGGCCAGACTGCAGCGAGGCGGAGCAGGCGTGAAGAAGGCTCTGAGGGGCAGAACTGCGCTGAGAGCCCCCAGCAGGGAGCAGGAGGAAGACAAGGAGCTCCTGAGGGCCATCACAGAGGAGGAAACACTGGAAGAGGAGCTGGAGCTCAGCTTCGAGGTGCTGCGGGGCTCGGACGAAGAGGACCCAGCTCCAGGTAGGCTGAGGGAGAGCAGAGGGTGTGGGGACAGGGTGGCTTCCATCGGTGGAGGCTGTGCTGCTGTGGACAAGGCTCTAGCTGGGCACTGAGCCAGGCTGTGGGCGCAGCCCCAAAAGGGGGCTCTGGGGGTGTTGGTCCAAACCCTGTGCTGTAGAGCTGCGTGTGTTGCCTTTTAGGGCTGTAGCTCAGGGAGGCTTTGAGGAGTTATGGCCAGGGAGGAAGTACCAGGGCTGGGCATAGGCACTCCCCTCTCATTCAGGACTTGGGCAGCCCCTGCTGCAAGTCAGAGCCTGGGATCCTGGGGAGGGGCACGATGCATACATGCAGCCTGTCTCTGCAGGCACAAAGAAGGGTGTGACTTGGGCACCAGGTGAGCGCGAGGTGCTGCGGAGAGATGCCAGTGCCAGCCCATGGGAGTCCTTCCCAGCTGCTGGCAGGAAAGGAAGCGGGGATGTCCTCAGCTTGCAACCTCCCTCTGCCATGTTAGCTGCCATAGGTAAGTGATGGATCCCTGTCCCCCCAGCATCCCTTCTGGGTAGGTCCATCAAACCCCACCCTGGGCACAGACCCAGGGACCCCCACGAGACTTGCTTTTTGGGGCTCTAGAGACTCCTGTCCAGTTCAGATAGGGCTTGGTTCTGGGCTGGGTCTATCCCTTTTTTACTGTGTGGCCCTGTAGCAGGGCTAGTCTTATATCAGACACTTGTGTTGCTCAGGTCCTTGCTTTTCCATGCCCCTATCATGTCTCTCTCTCTTCTCCCCACCCCCCATCCCCCCCCCAAGTAACTGTGTTCCTACCTCCCACCTGGTCCCCATACCTCTTTTTGCCCGCCTGCTCTGGTCTCCAGGCAGACAAAGCCCTGGGCGAATCTCTCCCTCTAAAGGAGGCCCCCGGGGCTCTCCCTCTGCCTGTAGGACTTCCTTCCCTGGACTCAGTGTGTGAATCTCTGATGGCTGCCCTCACTTCCATCAGCCACTGCCCCCCAAGTGCCCTGTACTGCCAGCTCTGCCGCCTCCTGGCACTGTGCACGGGCAGCCGGGACCCACTTGCCACTGCCTGCTTGGTCTCGGAGTCGGTCGCCATCGGTGCCCGCCACCAGATGCTGAGCAGTATTCACAGGAGAATGCAGTAAGATCTTTCTCACCCAACCCCAGCCTTGGCACAGCATTCCCCTGCCACCCTCCCAGCTACCCAACTGCCTGGCAGAGCAGCCTTTGGGTCCTCTAGTGATCCCAGTGGCTGCTGGGGGACCTGGATGCAGCTATACATCCTGGCACTGTCACCCCTCCTCGCAGCAAAGCCAAGAAGTCAGGAGATGTGGCAGAGCAGCTGGAGGAGCTCAGTATGCATGGGGTGCCTGCTGATCCCCGGATGCAGCGCCTTGCCCAGCTCCAGCACCTCTTCCAGTTCAGCTCAGCTGGGCTAGGACAGCTGGAGATGGAGGCCTTCCGGGAGCAGCTGTGGCAAATCCCTAGTGGTAAGGGCCTGGGGGTCTTTAAGGGGAGGCTGGATGAACACCTTGCCGGGGTCGTCTGACCCTAGTACTCTTTCCTGCCATGGCAGGGGGGCAGACTTGATGATCTGCTCAGGTCCCTTCTGACCCTACCAACTATGAAACTATAAAGGGCCATGAGGGAGGAAAGGGGGGCTGCTATTCCCAGAGTCTAGTGTGGTGGGGTTTGCAGATGTCCGCAGTAACAACAACTTGTGGGCAGCCTCAGGGCTGAGTGGGACTGGCCAGGCGGGAGGCCCTGGTTGATCAGAGCCTGGGCAGGGGGTCTGAGCCCTGTCCTCTGGGCATGGGGAGCCTACATGTTGCTGCTTAATGGACGGAGGGCCCTTCCCACACCCACTCTTGCAGCACATGGGCTACATGACAGCTGTGGGGCCCTTCACTGGGTACCTGCAACCCCTCTGCCTTGTCTACCAGGTGTGACTGTGTGCATCCTGGCCCTGGGGAGCGTCCAGCCCAGCACCGTGGGGGACACGCTGCTGTTGACGCGGTTGGAGAGGGATGGCGCCCCTGTGACTATCCGGATACCGACTGCGGGCAGCAAGGTGACTGGGTGGGGGCAGACAGGGCAGCTTGGTGGGCTGGAGGCAGGGCAGGGGTCACGGGTGGCTTGTCTTGCAGGTGCCCCTGAGCTCGGTGCTGGAGGAGTTTGATGCTATCCAGGCCCAGCAGAAGGAATTCAACAACTGCACGGACAAGCGGGACTGGTGGCTGGGCCGCTCAGAGCTGGACCACAGGATGAAGGTAGGTGGCACAAAGGTCTCTGCCCCACAACATCCAGGGCTGGAGCTCGTGACCTCACACTCCTCTTCCTGCCTCTTTCAGAGCCTGACAGAGACCCTGGAGAAGCAGGTGCTGGGCTGCTGGAAGGGGGCCCTGCTGCCAGCTGGCCCAGATCCAGTTGCTACCAAGGCAGTATTGGAGTTACACAAGCGCCTCCGTGAGTGTGGTTGGGAGGACCCAGACCCAGCTCTGCTCAAGGTGAGGCTGGAGAAGCCCCCAACACAGCCAGGCCTTGGGCCCAGCTGGAGCAGTAGGCAGGACTCCCTGCAGTGGGTGGAGCCTGTGGTTGTGGGGAGGGGCTTGTCAGGCTTTCATGGGAGTGTGGCTCCAAGAGCAGAAGGAGGGCAGGGGACCTCCCCCCACTGGCTGCAGCGCAGGGGATGCTGGCTCACCAGGCGTCCTCTCTTCCCCCAGGTAGTACTGAATGGTGCCCACCTCCTGGCCCCCCCTGATGTGCAGCGCCTGGCACTGGGGCTGTGCCCAGCCAAGCCAGCTGCTGCCCAGGCCCTGCTACAGGCAGCGGTGGAGGAGGAGCGGGGGGCCTGTGGCAAGCAAGCTGGCAGCTCCCTGCTGCTCGTGCTGGATAAGGTAAGTGGTAGCTTCCTGAGCCCTCAGGCCTTGCCCACCTGCAGCCTCCAGTTCTGAGGCTAATGATGGCTCTTCTCTCCCACAGCATCTGCAGAAGCTGCCCTGGGAGAACATGCCCTGCCTGCAGGCCCTGCCCGTCACCCGCTTGCCCTCCCTGCGTTTCCTACTCAGCTACTCGCTTGGCAGCCAGGTGTGTTTTTGGAGGGGGGGGAAGAGGTGCTGGGGGCTGAGACATGGCACCCAGGTGCTGAGCTTGGCTCTAGCTGGGCCATCTGCTGCACAAGAACAGCTCATCTGATCTTCATGCAAGGCCAGAAGCCCCTTTGAGCGGAGCTGGGGAATCAAGCTGGGCCAAGGGGTGTGGGGGGCTGGGAATGGTCCCTGTGGGGATGAACCCAGCCAGGCTGGCTGTGCTGAGCACCCAGGCCTCCCTTTGGAGACTAACCTGCTCAGCACCTGTCTAGATGGGGAGGGCCTCCTCATTCCCACCCCTTATCAGTGGCTTTGAGGGACTTGGCACCCCAGGGTGGAACCAATTGGACCATCTTTTCCCCACATCAGGACCAGATGGGCTCAGTGCTGACCCGTGGGGTGGATCGCAGCAGCGCCTTCTATGTCCTCAACCCCCATGGCAACCTACCTGGGACAGAAGAGCGCTTCCGCGCATGGTTTGAGAGGTGGGTGCACACCTGTTGCCCACCCACCTACCCAGCTGGGCGTGGCACACTCCCCTGGTCCCTGCCAGCACAGCTGGACACTAGGTGGGTGCCCTGTGACCTTGGCTTTGAGTCCCTGTCATCTCTTGTAGTGAGGCTGGCTGGTCGGGGGTGACGGGCACTGTTCCAAGCCGAGAGCAGATGCAGGCGGCGCTCATGGAGCATGATCTGTACATGTAAGTGCCCCAGGCCCAGGCTGCTGCACTCCTGCCCTGTCCCAAGTCCAAGGAGGGTGCAGGGAAGCAGCCCAGACCACATGTCTTAATACTGTGGGACATTCCCTTGGCCTGGCCTTTGTGTCTGTGCCATGATGACATCTGTGCTGCTGGTAGAGCCCTCTACAGTGGCAGAGCTGGTTACCAGCCAGGCCAGGGGCCTGTTGCTTTCTTGAACTGCTCTGAGGTACAGGGTGGGATGCTGGAGCTGTGCGCCATCACAAATCAGCTTTCCCCCCCACCAACCCCCATTGTTCTGCCATAGCTATGCTGGGCATGGGGCAGGTGCCCGCTTCCTGGATGGCCACTCGATCCTGAAGCTGGACTGTGCGGCCGTGACCCTGCTCTTTGGATGCAGCAGTGTCGCCCTGGCTGTACGTGGCAGCCTCGAAGGGTCTGGCATCGTCCTCAAGTACATCATGGCCGGGTGGTGAGTTCAAGCCCAGCACTGTATGGGCCATGGGGGTGGCGGGGCTCCTATGGCTGCTGGACCCTGCAGTGGGGGTCAAACCCCTTCTGAGGCAGCTGCAGGTGAAGCTGAGGGTCTCCTTCCTGGTCCCTGCAGAGGCCTGGTCCTGAAGTATGAGATCTGCTTGCATCTTGCTTAGCTAACAGGGCTCTGAACCGAGCACCCTCCTTGTAAAGGCCCTGCCCCAGTGCATGCCCCCACCAGGGCAAACCCAAATCCGAGGCTCTCAAACTCCGTGGCTGTCAGCCAGTTGCAGAGCTCCATCCCCTGCCCTGAGCTCACCCCCTGGCTCTTCCCTCCCCACAGTCCCCTGGTCCTGGGCAACCTCTGGGACGTCACCGACCGCGACATTGACCGCTACACAGAGGCGCTGCTCCAGAGCTGGCTGCGGGCAGGGCCAGGTGCCCCCCTCCTGGACCACGTCATCCAGGCCCGCCAAGCCCCACGCCTCAAGTACCTCATCGGTGCTGCCCCCGTGGCCTACGGCCTCCCTGTGTCTCTGCGCTGAGGAGCCATAATTGGCTCTCTGGGGGTCCCCAGCTCAGTGCCTCAGCCCCATGTTCTTCCACAAAGCAGTTGACTGTAAAACCGCCTTGAAGCCAGACCTGCCTTGTGGCTAAAGTGCCTTGAACTCTGCAGCTGATCTTGGCCTCAGCTGACCCTAGGGGAAGGTCCCAGCTGGAGCCTAGGGAGGGGACTCTTAGCCCTGCAGCTTTTGCACAAGGGCTGATTTGTGGGGATCCTGTCCCTGGAATCTGCATTCCTAAAATTTTAACTTATTTTAATTAAACCCCAGTTTTCATCTGTCACAATCTGGTGTATGTTGCACTTTGTACCATTGAAATAAAGCTGTAGAGTCTTGCTCAGCCTGCATGGATTTCCTAGGCCTCAGTTCACAAGGGCAGTTGGCGCTCATTCCTCGTCTGGCACTGCCCGGCTTCTCTGCCCTGAAATTTCATCTAAATAGGAACTTGGCACTGCCACTGCCCATCTCTTCTGGGCAGGCTGGGGCCCTGGCTGTGGGTCCCAATGTCGACAGGCCTCCTGCCTAGGCAGCTGCATTAGTCTAAAGCAGTGTTTCTCAACTTCCTTCGTAGCAGGACCCATTGGTTTAGTGCCCCTTGCTCCTGACCTTCAGCCCCTCCCAATGTGGGGTGGGGGGGAAGGGGTGGCAGCAACCCCTTGCAGGCTGGAACTCTGCCAGCCTGCAGGGGGAAAACTGCAGTCTCCCATGGTTTGTTTGGTTTTTTTTCTTCTTTTTAAAGGAGAATCTATTTAAAGTTCATTCATGACCCTTTCTTATATTCTTGCGACCCACTTTTGAGTCACGACCCACAAGTTCAGATATGCTAACCTAAAGTGTGCTTGCCCTTTCTTTGGAGGGTGGGAGGGGGAAGTGCATGGCTCTAGGATGCTGCAGTCACTGCTCATGGGATATAAGTGTGGATGCTTGGTTCACTGGTGCTGCTCTTGCACTGGATTTGGGTCCAGGCCTGAGGTAGAACACTAATAGTTGTCACCCCTCAGTGTCTTTGCTAGTGGCTGTGTCCTAGAATCATAGAAAATGTGGGTTGGGAGGGACCTCAGGAGGTTGCATTAAGTTCAACTACCTGTTCGAAGCTTAGCAGTAATGTCAGCTAAGGGGGTGTTCCCAGGACAGTTATACCAGCCCCAACCCTTCCACAAGGGCTGGGCTCACGCTATCGGTGAGGGCAGCCAGGGGCACCCTATTTATAACCGAGCGTAGCTTGACTGGTTGGAGCAGGGCTTGTGTGATCCGGGGTTTGTCACCTGCCAGTGAGCTGTTACTGTGCCTCTCTGAATCAGTTTTTCTGCAGCTAGTCTGTATGGTGCAGCTCAGCCCCGCTTCAAACCTGGCAAAGTCCTTTCTTTTGGAGCCGTGCAAATCCAACCTGCTGAGGCTGTATTGCTCCCTGATTCCCTTTATACCCTCTAGTGCTTGTTGATATGCCAGGTCTCTTTACAACCAGTGCAGGGATTTGGATAGCTCCTCCTGGCCAGGGCCCTGGTGTGTCATTCCCTTAACCATAGCCTGAATGCCGGGAGGCTGCAGCAGTGAAGGCAAAGGATATAGACTCCACCCTGATGTCAAACTTGATAAAGAGTCAGCCCAGCTCTGCACAACCCACTGCCATGGTGATGATGCACTAGAGCACCTGGCTGTTAACAGACCTAAGGAAATGCTCTTCTCCTTTCCTAGCACTGGCAGGAAGGGTGCTGATGCCTCTGCCTCTTCCAGCACAGCAGGGCTCTGGGGTGCGAAAATGTTGTGCAGGGACCTCAGCCCTTGCTCTCGGGCATTAATTTTTTGCCTTGTGAGATTAGCATGTGTTTCATACCTTCTAGGGTTGGAAGGGACCTGAACACATCATCAAGTCTGACCCCCTGCCCTGGGCAGGAATGAGTGCTGGGATCATAATACCCCAGACCGAAATCTATCCAACCTCCTCCTGAAGACCCCCAACATAGGGGAGAGCACTACCTCCCTTGGGGCCTGATGCCAGAGCCTGGTAGCCTTAACTGTAAAGTAACGCTTCCTGCTATCAAACCTGAACTGTTTCTATTTGCATATACCTATTCTCCACTTTGGGACTAAATCTCCAGGGCTGGAGGGTCTGAGGGGAGCAGGGGCCATGGATGTTTGCTCTGTCTTGGGTCTAGTGAGCAGAAGAGCTGGACACTCTTCCCCTTTAGCAAGACTTTTGAGGTTTGTTTAGGCAGGCTTTTGATGCCATTTCCCGTACCATTCTTGCTACCAAGCTAATGAAGTATGAGTTGAATGATTGGACTATAAGAGGGATAGAAAATGCTGGAGTTCATGGAATCCTAGAAGTAGGGTTGGAAGGGACCTTGTAGATCTTCAGGTCTTACCCCCTGCCTGGGCAGGAAGAAAACGGCTCAAATGACCCCAGCCAGGTAGGCATTGAGCCGCTTCTTAAAGACCCCCAGGGTAGGAGCCAGCACCACTTCCCTTGGAAGTTGGTTCCAGATCCTAGCCGCCCTGACTGTGAAGTAGTTCTTACAGATGTCTAATCTAAACCTACTCTCCAACAACTTGTGGCCGTTATTCCTTGTTAGCCCGGGGGGTGCTAGGGGAAACAAGGTCTCCCCCAAACCCTTCTGGTCCCCCCTAGTGCGTTTATAGACGGGCACCAGGTCCCTCCTCAGCCTTCTCTTGTGGAGGCTGAACAGGTTCAGGTCCTGTAACCTCTCATTGTAGGGGCTGCCTTGCTGCCCCCGGATCGTGTGGGTGGCCCTCCTCTAGATCCTCTCAACGTTGTCCACATCCCTCTTGAAGTGGGGCGCCCAGACCTGGACACAGTACTCCAGTTGTTGGGTTCAGGTTAATGATCAGTGGCTTAATGGCTAGCTGCTAGCCGGTGTCAAGTGGACTGCCCTCCTGAGGCCAGTTTTGTTCAATATCCTCATCAACAGTCTGGAAGATAGCACAGAGCGCACCCTCAGCAAGTTTGCAAAGGAACACCAAGCTGGGGGGAGTGGTAAATACACTGGAGGGTTGGGCCAGGATTCAGAGAGACCTGGACAAATTGGAGGATTGGGCAGAAAGCAATCTCACGAGGGTCAACAAGGACAAGGGCAAAGTCCTGCACTTAGGACAGAGCAATCCCATGCACCGGTGCAGGCGGGGGGGCTGACTGGCTGGGCAGCAGCTCTACAGAAAAGGAGCTGGGGGTGAAGCTGAAAGTGAGCCAGCAGTGTGCCCTTGTTGCCAAGAAGCCTAACAGCACCCTGGGCTGCACTGGTAGGAGTGCTGCCAGCAGGTCCAGGGAAGTGAGTAATCATTCCCACCCCCATGGGCTCTAAATCTATGCCCCATGCGCGCCCCTTAATTTGGATATGTAGCTATACCTTATCTGCATCCCCTCATTTGCATACGCAGCTACACCCATGTGCGCCCATTGATTTGCATAAGTAAATATATCCCACGTGCACCCCATCATTTGCATATGCAAACGTTCCTCTTAAAGCCTGGCCCGCCCGGGCTTTCCTTGTGCTTCCCTGTCCGCGCCTGGAGCATCACCGCCCCCCCTCAGCAATGGCGGCCGGAAGTTGGAAAATAAGTCCCCCGCGAAGCGAGGAAAAGGAGGGCGGAAGTTGAGAAAAAGGTCCCACCCCTTCGCATACCAATAGCGGCCGGAAGGAAACACGGCAGCCGCCGCCGCTCCTCCCAGGGCTAACCATAGAGAGGAGCGCGACGGGAGGGGCGAGGCACACCATCGAGCTGGGCGGCCGCGGGCTAGAGCGGCGCCGTGCCCCCCCCCCAAGATGGCGCAGGTGAACATGGCGGAGCTGTCGCTGCCGCAGCTCGAGGTGGTCAAGAGCCAGCTGGACCAGGTTGGCCCGGGCAGGCCCCGCCCCCGGGGAGGGGGGCATTAACTCCTTCAGCACCCCGTTCTGCTGCCCCCCCCGTTAACCCCTTGTGGACAGTCCTGGGGCCCTACCCCCACCTCCAGGGTCTGATCCTCCCCTGCACTGATGCAGACCTCCCTCCCCCCATTAACCCCTTGTGAACAGTGCTGGGTCCCTACCCCCACCTCCAGGGTCTGATCCTCCCCTGCACTGATGCAGACCTCCCTCCCCCCATTAACCCCTTGTGAACAGTGCTGGGTCCCTACCCCCACCTCCAGGGTCTGATCCTCCCCTGCACTGATGCAGACCTCCCCCTATTAACCCCCTATGGGCAGTGTTGGGCCCTCCTCTGCCCCCATCCTCCCCCCCCCCCCGGGGTCTTTCGTGCACCGGGGGCTGATCTCCCGGCTGTGCGGCCCCTGCAGGAGGTGGAGTTCCTGTCCACGTCCATCGCTCAGCTCAAGGTGGTGCAGAACAAGTACGTGGAAGCCAAGGACTGTCTCAACGTGCTCAACAAAAGCAACGAAGGCGAGTGCCCCCGGCCTTCCCCCGCCCCCGCGGAGGAGGCGCTGTCATGCCGGTGCCCCTGGGCAAAGCAGCACTGGGCCCAGCCCCGCCCGGTTTGGCCCCACGCGCCTTCCTGGGCTTGCTGCCACCTGGAGCCGTCTCCCCTCGCACCCAGATCCCCAGGGGAGGGCGTCTGCTTGTCAGCCGGGACTCCCGGGTTCTTTACCTGCCTCTGCTGCTGCTGTGCTGATTCACAGCCCAGGGCAGGGCAGTCTCTGCTCAGGTTCCCCGTGGCCTTGGGCTTTGCTTACACGGCTCCAGGACCTTGCTCCACGTCCTTCCCCTGCAAAGCTGCAGATGTCCCAGCCCCGCAGGGCCCCGTGTGTCCTGCTGCTGGTTGCCAGCCCCCCCAATGCTGCAAGGGGGGTTGGTAATTAAAAACACTGACATTTGCTTTGCCTCCACAGGGAAA